CACAGCTTTTGTAAACACTTCCAGCCCGGCCCGATAATCCAAACACTTGATTGCGCGGGGATATCAATTAGCGAGGGACGGACGAAAGGTGCTATTAAGGATCCGCACACTTCCATCGGATATGATGGTACTCACAGTGGAGTGAAAAAAAAAAAAAAACGAAAGTGAAGGATCAATAGCGATGCATCAACGAGAGAAATCGGAGCGTGATTTTATTTTAGTAGGGAACATTTGTGCTTCGATGCGGTCCAAGAAATGGATTTATTCATTGGGATTCTTTTCTCTAGTTGTTGTTTCTTAGATGATTTTTGGTGCCATCGTTCTGTGACTGAAGAAATAATTACACTGTGATGTTAATTGAATATAATCATTGAAGTTTTATGATACTCACAGCCGTTCAACATGAAAGAGCTCCACGGAATACATCATCTTTGGTCACGGCTGCAAGGAGAGGTCCTTCAGGATTGTATCCAGGAATTCCTCACGTTTACCATGCCGCGAGCAATCCTTATCATCCCCTTTTATATCCTGCGTTGTTCCCTTTTAAGCCAACAGTGTCAGCCTTCACGCCATCAGTCGGTAAGAATAAAGCTGTTTCTTAATTTCTCATCCTTTGTCATGAGAGGCTGTTTTCTGCATAACTTTCAGCAACCTGTAAAAAAATAATTACAAGTTAGTTCAAGTATTTTATAATTTACAGCACACTTTTTGCCACGATCACCAACAGAATCATTGACAGTGACTCCAGCTAAAGAAGATGAAGTGACGAGTTCCGAGGAAGCTGGAACTATTGACACAAGAATTGAACCAAAAGGTAAAGACTTTGAAAAGGGGACTTATTCAATGATTCGATATTAAAATTTAATGGTTGATGTTGAAATGATATATGGTTTTATAGAGGAATTAACGAGTAGCCGCTTAGCACCACCGACCATCAACTCTGTGTCCTCAGAATACGTGCCCAACTTTTCCATTCTACCTACAGAGAATATTTACGAATTTGCAGCAAAATTGCTCTTCTTTGCAGTCAGATGGGCGAGAAGTATTCACTCATTTCTACAAGTAAATTCAAAAAATTATTTACAGTAGTCTGATAGAAAATTTAAATTTCTATATGCCCTTTTTCTTCTAGCTGCCATACAGAGACCAAACTATTCTCCTGGAGGAATCTTGGAGCGAGCTTTTCGTCCTGACGGCCGCTCAATGGAACTTCCCCGTCGAAGAGACAGTTTTAGTACCTAATGATATATTACCTGAAAGGAAAGAAGTGCTTGTTGACGAAGTGAGAAGGCTGAGAGAACTGTTAGCGAAATGTACCCTTCTCAGAGTTGATCATTCAGAGTATGCTTGCCTAAAAGCTATAGTTCTCTTCAAAGGAGGTATAATAAATCAAAAATTAAATTTACATGCAAGCTTTCGATTCTACAAATTTAGACATAACAAAATAATATTTTTAATTCAGAATCACGAGGACTCTGCGAGCCAGGAAGAGTAACAGCATTGCAAGAACAAACGGTTGCTGTATTCTGCGAAAGAGATGCACGCAGGGTTGGACGACTTTTACTGCTGTTACCCCCAGCTCGCGCACTCTGTCGATCAACCCTGCAAGAATTGCTATTCAAACCAACAGTAGGGGACGTTAGCGTGGAACGGTTATTGGGAGACATGGTTAGTGCCCTCAGACCGACATAACCTAAAATCTACTCGGTCGATACCGTATAAACGAATTGCATAATAATTTACAATTTGTTTCTAAACAAACGAACGATTCTAGTTATCGGGGTTCGTGATTACCCTGCATTAGTTTTGTAAAGGCTATTGTCCAAGGAAGTTATAAAAATGTCGGCTACTTTTGCGTCGGTGAAAAAGATCCCTTGGAAAGGTCAGATGTCGACGCAACTGTTCAATATTAATCCATTCGATGTCGACGTTTTACCATAAGATGATCCTCAGGAAATGCAATTCTTTTTTTCTAGTCATATCACGTTTTTCTAGTTACTCTAACATCCTCTAATCCTTTGTTTTTATATTGATATAAATTTTTTTAAGTATCGGATTTCGCCAGAGTTGCAAATTTCATATCAAAAACACGTAAAAAGTTGTCTAACAATAATCCAAACGAAGCTGGACACGATTTATCTGAAAACCGTATCGTTAATGTATTAAAATTCATGTTATTAAGATAAAATTAAAAATACTGATCGTTACTTATGTATTATTCTATTAGGGATAATAAAATGATACATTACAACACTGTTTCATGTCATTTTATATTGTTGTCTTACCTTTACTAATCTCTTCGCTTATATTTCATTCCTCGGTTTGTTTAAATTTCGTCATCTATTGAATGGTGTTCTGGGACTGCTCCTGGTAACTAGAGAACATGAAAGCAGAAGAGGTATCCGGCGAAATCGTGCGACAAGGATAGCAACTACTGTGCGAGAAGGACAAAGGTAAGCCCCGCCTATCCATAATGGCGGCGTTAACAAACAACAAATAATGGAGAAAAATAATTAATTACTTGCTGCTCGCCCACAATTGAAGTATGCATTTTTAAGATCACTTATTAAAGTATAAAATCGTAGGAAATTTCAGGAATGGGTATTGTAAGCATTCTGATCATAATTAAAATTATTAATAATATAAGAATTGAGGGCGGACGGCAATAATCATCATCCGGGATTTTCAACGACATTGATTTTGCAAGTTTAATTTATACACTTTTATAATTAGAGAATAAAAACTTATCCAAGCGTATACTGCAATAAGCGATCATGAAAGTGCACGAATTGTGCGTAGAGAATTAGTGATTAACGATTTTCTTTCTGGTAATTGTCATTTACTGAACGCCGCCATTGTGGATTGAAAGTCTATGTCTGTCTTTGTTGCACAGTATACGCTATCCTTGTCGCACGATTTCGCCGTATACTTCCTACATGTTTCTGCTATCCTGGTATCAGGAGTTTAGTTCGAAACTCCAAACGCTAGATGGAGTTGATCAAATTTTTATTTAGCGGCGATACATAACCGTGTGGATAATTCAGTAATGTATTTCTTACTCTAATATTTACATACCTGTATATTAAATTTAATTGTTCTGTAACTTATTAATAAAAAAAAATTACTGTTGCAGAACCTGTGATTATCCTTACATCTAGATCGTTGCATATAAAAGAAGTCAGACAGAATTTGATGAAATAAAAGTATCGCAAAATAACCCTGATCATCGCTAAGAAAAATATAAATATAAATATAAATTTTTGAATTATTGCTACTGAAAATTTTATTTCCAACAACTTAATAAATTCTTTATAACTATGTATCATGCGTCTCTTATTTATCTTCTTGTTACACTTGCATTAATTAATTAACCGATAAAGTATGACAAATAGCGAAAGAATAAAAAAAAAAAATAAAGTAAAAATTAAGAATACTAAAAATTGCGGGCATCGCATAATCACGATTTATATTTTAGCAAGACTTTTTGAATTTCTGAAACGTTTATTTCACATCACAACAATAGAATTCGTTTACACAGTGTATGGCGTCTGCGGCGTTAATTAAACTTCGTATGGATGATTATCAGGGGAAAGATTGGCATTATAGAAGAAAAAAATAGAAATAGTAACGCACACAATTTTTTTTTATTAACTAGAATAATTTATTTTTTCATGGTAGAAAAAGGAGAATGTATCTTAACTCATGGACTGCAGTGTACTCATACAATACATACAATCCTCAATTGAATGATACACAAAATTCATTATAAATTGATTTCTTAATTATTTCCTTGTCCTCGTGTAATCTGCTTGTGTGTGAAATGTTCAATCCGAAAGAGACAACTATTAATTTCCTATGTCGTTTCACGTGGTGTTTTATGCGATTTACGAAGGGGGAAAAAATAGCTCTGAGTGCGAATTTTCCGTTTACATTTTTTATTCTTATTTTCCACGAGGTCTGCTTCTTTTTGGACCAAGAGAAAGACAGAGAGATAGGGGGGTACTAGAAAGTGCCGAAGGGAAAATGAGGGAAGATAAACGAGAAATTGAAGATGGAAACGTGGAATGGTCGGTGGAAAATCTTTGAGAGCGACACCATCGAGAATTGACCGAACGATAGAAAATAAAAAGAATTTCAGAATAGTGAAAAAATGAAAATGGAAGCAAGGAAAAAAAAATAAAGATGTGCAAATGTCTCGTTCGTACAATCTCAATGCTTATCTTCTCTCTGTTTCTTTTTTCTATTCTCGGACCATAGGAACCGTTTCAGGATCAAAAATGAAAAAAAAAAAAAGAAAAGAAAGGATAAAATTGCAAACAGTATCTGTCTTTTCCTGTTTTCAAACGGTTACTTTCGCGAATTTCAGAGCAGGATCTCCGACGAAGCAGCGAAAATTTTGCACTGGCTACTCTTCGCTCTTTTTTTCCGTCCCCTTGCAACGATCCTGACCCTCGTAAAAAAAACAGTTTCCTTGAACTCGAGGAACATATTACTGCGTATTTCCTATCCTTCCTGTCCATTGTGTTTTAATATCTAAACGCGTACAAGTATACTTTTACAAAAAAAAAAAAAAAGAAAAAAGAAAGAAAAAAACGAATGAAGAAAAATCTTTGTTTCGTCTCCTTGTAATCTACTCGTGAAACGTATGCTTTCACTTTTGCGTTAGCACACTCTTTTTCTTTTTAATATAATAGTAATATATTCTTATACCGTTCTCCTTAATAGTTTGTTTTGCTTTGTTTCTTGTTTAACGCGCTTACATTCAAATAGACTTTTATTTAGAAGTTATACAGTTAATAAAATTTGCGATTAATTAATCGGTCTCGCTGCTGCGTTTATCGTTCGCTTGTTTCCTCCCTTTCTCTCTCTCTCTCTCTCTCTCTTTCTATCTTTCACACACACACACACACACACACATACACATTCTCTCTATCATTCTCGCTATCTCATTTATAATTATTACTTTACTTTTTTTAGCCTTTATTTATTTAAATTTACGCTTTTCTTTTCTTTTAGTTTGTGAGGAATTGTTCTGGTCGAGCGTGTTGCTGCTCGTTGATGATCACGGTGCATCCGTCGCTCGCGCGCTCGCTTCGCCATCGCTTTTTCTCTCGAAACTCTTCGTTCCCCGTGTTTCCATAATTAGTAATACATTAAGAGTAATAATAACGATAATAGTAATAATGATTAATAATAATAGTAATAGTAATAATAATAGTAATAATCAAAAAGCAATTGAATTTTGTTGAGGGACGAAGGGAAGGAAATTTCGTATCTTTCTCTCTAGAAAAACGGAAGCGATATTTTTCACACATCACCGCGAACAAAAGGGACGTTTGATCGCGAAAAGAAAAAAAGAAATCCAAATGGAAAGCGATGCTAGCTGACGCGCGAGCGTTACAAAATGAAAAAGACGCGCGGCATATCCGCGTCTCGCCCGATTTTTCCTGTATCTTTCCAACAGTTCGGTTTATCTCCCTTAAACAATAAATGTTTCGTTTCGATTATTCTCGTTTTTTCTTCCTTTTTTTCTTTTAAATTATTTCTGTGACATCCATGAATGAAAATCGATCGATGATTGTAACTTTCTGTTCATCGTTGAGAAAAGCAAGAAAAAGAAAAGAAAAGAGACAAAAAAACAACACAACGGCATTTCTACTATTCCCATTCTATTTTAACGCTAATATGTAGGACAAAAAACTAACAGATTTCGGCATAATAACAAATCGTCGTTCATCGAGCCCCCCGAAACGAGTACCGAGAAAGATCATCATCGTTATTTGAAATTTTTCTTCTTCTTTTGCAATCCTGATTAAAAATTCTGATTAATCTCGAAACACTCTCGGGCGATTCGATGCGACGAAATATAACAGGTTGTCGGCTCTGACGACTATCGTTCCTGATTTCTCGTCGATCTCCTTCGCTTCACGATGAATTTAACAAAATAAGAAAACCTCGAAGACGTGTAAATTTCGGATCTCGCTGCTTACCTGTCGTTCGCTGAAAATAATCATATTGTAATTTCCAATCATTTGTAAAATTTCCATACAGTACATTTAACATATTGACTGCCATGCTGGTACTATTGAAAATTTAATTAGATTATTTATCCAGTTAAATAAATAAATTCTTTGTAATATGAATAATGGATTTCTACGAAATTTTTAGTGTCATCCACATATGGATCACCTGACAGTCAATGTGTTAATTCTTACGTAAATACAAATTTTATTTTATTGATTGCATCGAGTGAACTCAGGGTATATTATTATGAAGGTTTCTCTATTGATAGTCTGTCGTATCACCAGGTTCTTCGAGAGACGATTACAAGATCTTTGTAACAATGTATATTAACGCAGATATTACAATATCGATACAGAACGTTGGCGTACAAAATAGAGAAACGATGAGTTTCCAACGAGATCCATAAAGATAACTCTCGTGAAACAAAGGTGTAAAAAAGATCGTCGAGAAATTCGGAATTCCAGCTACTTCATACTATATACATCCAGAAGTGAGGGGATCCGACGAATAGCAACGATCGAGAATCGCGAAAAATAAAAAATGGAGCTCGCACGTTGCATTGAGCCGGACACCCTCGCCCCGACAGAGCTCGCGAACACAATAATTCTATTTCATAATTGTTTTATCATCACTATTTCACGTTTAACTATTTCCTATTGTGTATGAAAGGGGAGCTTTGGGAGAGGGAACGAGGGATGAATGTGTGGTGGATCGGGGGCTTGGTAGGAGGGACTCTGCTTGGATTTACTGTCTGCGATGTGTTCCTCTCACGCGATTAACATATTTCTCATTCAGCAACTGTACTGTGTATTTAATTCAATGATTTCGAACTTGTCCACGTCTCGTCCGAAACGAATGAAAGAAAGGAAACGGATCGAACAAAAACCGTAGAACAGTGATCCATCGATCGACCGATGCGAGATCGACGAGGGTATCATAAATTCAACCGATTGTTTCATTTTTCAAATATATATCCCTCGTCGATTTCGATCGAGCAAAAATTCCGTGCGCGTATCCAAACGTCAACGACACGATGCGAGAAAAAGTTGTCGAGATCTCGTCGTGTTGATTTACTCTATAATTTCAGAAGAAAGAAGATTCTCATAACTCATGTGTTTCATTCAAAAACAACCAAAAACAAAATAAAAAGAGGAAATATTTCGGCAACAGAAACGTGGCTCTCTAAACTCATTTCCATCATTTCAACTCTCTTCATCGCTCAGTTATTTCGCTATTATTATTATTATTATCATTATTATTATTTCATTTTTCTGTAAATTTATTTCTCTTGTCGCTGGTTAGATTCTCTGCGCTCTATCGTATAATATGCGTGTAATCGAGGTACGGTATATAATCTGCATGTAGCTCTGAAAAATTTGCGAGGTAGTCTTGTGTTGGACGCGCCGCGACGGCATTTCCTAATTGGTCGCCAGGCGTCGAGTGCGTTTCGGCGTCCATTCTTTAACGAACGCTGATAAGGGCCGGATATAATAGTTCTCGCCTTGTTTCATACGACTTGAGAAAGCGGTATAAAAAGGGGGGGAAAAAAAAAGAATGAAACAACGCCGGTGAAACGATCGTGTTTCTGCGACGCCATGGGGGTTGTAACTCTCTCGACGCCGACGACGCTATTTCAGACTCGACCGTCACGGCGACGCCTTCAAAAAATCCCATGTCTCGTGTCTATTGTAACAACTATTGCACTTATGATTTGTATCAATGTCACGCTTCGCGGCACACGTGTCGAATGTACGAACGAGTACTCTGTGTTAAATTCATTCAACAGCGGCGTTGTTCTTTAAAAGCACACATATAAAAGAAAAATATTAGAAAATCAAGGAGAAAAAGATCGGAGAAAGACTCTTGGTTGCATGGATACTCCTCTTACCGTTGAACGTTTAAAAATCTTACTATTATATATAATATATATATATATATAATGTTATTTTAATAATAGGTACCATTAAATGCCATCCGGTTTCTGTTAATTACTATTTACTATTATTTTCATCTCTTTCAAACTTAATCTACTTCATTACTCTTTAATCCTGTTCCTATTTCATTTTAATCTCCCTCCCTTTTTCTCGCTTAATTCTATTTATCTCTCTCTTCTTCCCTTCTGTGTGATACTCTAGCGTAAGAAAGAAAAAAAAAGAACAAAGAAAAAAAAAGATTGACAAAATATATATGATGTATTACGGTGTAGATATATATAATAATCTATATATATCGATAATATGTGTGTATATATATAATATAGCTTTTTTTTTCTATGGTAAATCTGGTTCATTAATAAACTCTTGAACACTTATTACATGCGGAGAGAATCGGTCTCTTTTTTTGCTTTTCTTCTTCCGTCGTTTCCTTCATCTATCCCGTTTTGTTATTTTCATTTTCTGCGGCTGTATCGTTTACGTATCCGGGCATATATGTATATTTATATAACTGTACATCGTATGTGTTCCCTCTGGGTTCTCTGTGTGTATATATATCTATCTTCATATAATATAAAACGTATGCAAGTGTGTGGGTGCTGACGGATTTTCATGTGGTAAATTAACGAAAAAGTTGACGCGGTATTTTATATGAAATGTACGATGTGCATTATAAAAAGAAAATTTTTGTTTTGTGTTTTTAGTAATATATCACTTGTTATGATGGTTCCGTTTACACGCACGGCCTCTTACCAATTTTCTATCGCGTTCACCGCTCTCACAATCATTGTTTCTCCCTTTCCCGTAATCATTTCCCTTCTCCTCCTTCTTTTCATTCTTTCTCGGCTCGTTTTCGTATCTCCTTGAGTTTTCAATGATACAGGGCAATTCCTCACGTTCACCTACTAATTTTAAAACCAAACACGCTAGCGGGTACTCTCCCTCCAGAAAAGAAACGAGAAACGCAGCTTCTTCTTCATTTTTTTCTTCTTTCTTTTTCCTCTTTTAGAGTCTCTTCTAAATCGAAAAAAAACACGGTTCCTTCTTCCTTCGTTTTTTGGAAAATTCGATTCTCGGCGAAAAATCTTTCATTTCCAAAATATTCGTTGTTCACGAGAATCAACCCACACGCAGAATTTCTTCTCCCCCCTCTTTGTAAGGGTGTTTTCTGGCCGAAAAGCAGACAATTTTGCATCTGGAGGGAAGCGGCCCGCTGTATAAATATATATATATTTGTCCTGCCTTACATGTCTATGTATTTTATCTCTATGCTTCGTGTACTTAATGATTATCCATATAGTATGTAGTAGTTAAACTTTAAATATTATCCACTAAAAACACCATAGATTTTTTTGTTTTTAATCCTTCGAAAGGTTCGAAAAAGTCTTTTTTTTAATACGCTCTGTATGCGTGTGAGCGTGAGGGTGAGTCCGAAAGAATTCGCGATTTCCAACAAGTTACAAAAAAAAACCATAAAAAGAGAAAAACAGAATTTATCGACTCTACGAAAGACCATAATAAGTAAAACAAATCAAAGAAATTTGGGGAAAAAAGAAGCTTAAAAAAAAATTAATAATAAGATAGCGATGAGGATGATGACGATGATGATAATAATAATGATACTAATAACAATAACAGCAACAATAATAATAATAAAACACAGAACAATATTAAAGATCACGAGGAAAAGAACTGAAACACTACGGTGTTTAATATTTGGTTGGCTGCATGGAAAATTTGATTGAATTATTAATTGGAACTAGATAAAAATTCATAACTCTATCGTTAAGAAAATTCGCGTTGCACCGAATCGTATTTTTATTTTATTTTTTAAAACGCGAGCTCACGATTTTCACCGTTGTAAATATACCGAATATCAGTTAGAATTATTATTATTTACGATTATTATTATTATTAATATTATTATTATTATACGCCATATCTTATTAATCCGTTCCCTCGTTATTCCTCCTCTTGCTCTCTCGTCCGTAGCCAAACCAATTTCCACTAATGATCATTTCCCATTCCATTCGATTTCACGTGTATTTTTTGTAATTTTTGAATAAAAAAAAATTTTTTTAAATATATACCGAGCCAGGACTGTATAGTGTATTTTAGAAGAAAAAAAAATTGAAATCCTTCCTGTGGTAGGCATCATCGGAACGAGTCCCCCGGACCAAGAAAAAAAGAACGAGTTTTCTTCACTTTTACGGAATTTTACACGGAATTCACCAAAATAGCAACAAAAAAAAATCATCAAAACACCGAAGACACAAAAATATATAGGCGGTAGTAGTAAATAGTAGTAATAGTAGTAGTGTAGTAATAATAGTAGTAGTAATAGTAGTAAAGTATTTGATAGTGGTGATTATATAGTAGAAGTGTTTTTTTTTAATAGTAGAATAGTAGCAATTAAAGTAAACTAAAGTAGACAAAAATGAATTAATTACGGTGAAATTATCGTAATCATGGGGTTTGCTATCGCCACCTCTCGTCCAACGATTCCAATACATCAATTTCTCAAAATTGATCACCGCACTTTTTTTTACCTCCTTCATCATTTCTCACGTTTCTTCTTGAATCATCCAATCAATGGTTTTGAAAATGCAAAATCGGTAGGTTCGAAGTGACGATGTTGAGGCAAGCCCCGCGGTAGCGCAAAAAATTAAAACAAAAAAAAATTATCATACCGTATAGCAAAATGCAAGCGCGGAGGTTGTCTCCGTCGGCAATGCGTAACCTCTATATATTTTATTTTTTATCCATCAAGAAAAAATAGTGTTTTCTTTTCAAGCACGTGTTAACTTCCAAGTAACAACATTTTTTTTTTTTCGCTTGTTTCTCATACGTATCTTATATAGTTTTCCTTTCATTTAAAAATCGTCGTCCTCTCTCAATCTTTAGCGTATGCTATCGTTTTTCTGATCGTGATCGTGATTTCATTTTTTAGATATCGGTTCACGAAAAAAACGGCCTTGTGCCGTTCTATTTCCATTTATTACGAGAGTTTACGATCAATCAGTAGTTCGTTATGCATGCAATCGTCGTTCGAAAATACGTGGATGTCTTGACTTCTTTTTTTCTTTTTCTTTTTCAAAATCACACTTTTCACGTTCACTCGTTCCTTCTGCACTTTATCCTTTGATCAATCCCACGTACCATCCTCGGCGTGCGTATAATAATGTACGTATTATATCCCTTTGTATATATATACACATATATAATGTATATAGTATGCGTGTGTGTGTTGGCGGTATGCGTAGTAGATACGTTTGCTTCCATATTTTGGGTTTTCATGGTATTTCGGTGATGAAGTAGCATTAGATATTTTCCATGGTAGCCCCAGCGTCGTGCTAAGGGTCGTACCGCGACTTTGTTTTCTTCTTCCTCGCATCTTTTTTTGTTTTTTAATTTTACTACAGTCCACTTTTCCCTATGATCTACATATAGAATATATAATGATATATGTATAAAACGAAAGCTATCCCCTTTCTTTGCTGTCGAACTGATGACGATGATTTGGCTCTGTTTTTTAACCCTTTTTCAGCCCGTTGAAAATTCCCAACAATTTTGTCATATTTCCAAACAAATCTGTTTTTATTCCGCGATCAGGGAAACTACGATGGACTGTCACGCGATGATCCTCTAATCGTGATTTTCGATGGTCCTCCACCAGGCCTGTTCTGCATCGAAAGGAATGCTTCGTGGTTCGTTTCCTTGTCGTGAAAAATATTTTGAAATTTCTTTTTTACCAATTCCCGTTTGTTACGATCGTTGCTCGTTTCTTTCAATCGATAATCATTGTCTGCTTTATTTTTTTTTTTCTTCTTCTTTTTTTTGCCAGCTGCAAAAGATTGAAATTCTCGATCGTGAACATTTGATTTTTCCTCGATCGACCAGACACTCTGTGCAGTATAATCCCTTTTCCGGATCCTGTAGCGAAAGATGCACAACACTCGTGTTCGTGTCTATTGTTTCTTTCTTTTCCAATTTCCTTAACGATGTGGCCTGTTTACCAGTTCGATGATGCGATCTGTGTTCTTTCATTTACGATGCACAATCGGTTGTTTTTCTACAAGTTAACATCTAACGAAGAGCATAGAGCTTCGAACCAAAAGAGTTTTTCTTAAAATTTCAATTTTCACACGATACCAGAAAACAGTCGTTAGAATTTCATTAAAAAAAAATTTTTTTTTCAATGATCTCCGGCGCGTGCTAATGATATCGCTAAGTACCTACGCAAGAATGATAGTCCTTTCGCGACTTGTTTAATTAATGTGGTCCCGTGGTCATCTGACTTTGTGCAACATTATTTATTCGTTTGAACATATAGCATCGACGCCGGAACGAATTTACCGAAAAACCACGAATATACATTATCGAAAACTCTTTTGGCTCGGCCGCTCCGCGCATCCGAATACGTATTATACACAAAGTATTATTATATGCGTAAAATTGTATATGTACAACGTGCGTATCGAGCTTTTGCTGCGAATGTTGGCCTGACCCTATAAACAAAACAAAAATGGTAAGTGTCTGTTGGTATGAATACATCCGGCGATATAGAATCAATCGGTAAATCAATTCGTTTAAATCGTTCACGACCTCGCTAGATTTCATCGATTCGGTTCTGTCGTCTATTGTGATGTCTCTCTCGAGAGAAAGAGAGTGTATCGTGTGTGTGCGTGTATGTGTACGTAATGTATAATAACAGAGAATAATTAATATGAAAAATGTCTAATGATATAAACTGTATCAGCGTAGGGTTAACAGAACGAACATGGCAATCGTGCGAAACAAACGTGTAAACCGAACAGGAAAAACGAAGAACGTGCATAAACATTTCTATAATCAATGAAGATAAAAAACGGAAATATAGTTATAAATGGATCGCGCCAACAAAATGAAGAAAAAAAAACTGAACCTTCTTTTTTTTCTCACATGATTCGCGAACAATACTTATCCCCTAACGGACACATTATCATTAAGTGATATATAATGTTCAAATTCTCAAACGATTTCCACCTGATAAAATAATTCAATGATAAAAGGAAAACGCGTATAACTATATGTATATACATATATACGAAAAAACTATTATCTATTCGCCCCTGAAGGCAGCCCGTTCTTAAATCATCTCCTCCCGTCTTCTGTTTTTCTATTTCTCCGCTTGCGTCGTCTTAATTATCCCGCTAATATATTAAGAAAACACGGTAAATATAACTGATGAGGTAGCGAATGAACGAAAAAACAAACTCCCTTCTCAACGTCGTTCTACCATGTTAATGAATTTTTCTTTTTTTCCATTCTCGTCAAAAACGTGCCTCTTCTCTGCGTCTCGTGTTCATTTCTTCGATCAGCCGAACTCCCGGAAACGGCTATTTTGGGTTTTAGTATTATATTACTCATCTCGTACTCGATTCGCGACGATCGTTCATCATCGATCTCCTCTTCGAACGTTAACTTTTGTCCAAGATCGTCGTGCGACTTCGCAGGAGAAAGAGCATTATTTATTTTATTAACGACGACACACGGATGATACACAATTTTATGATGGTTTTCCATTTTGTCTATTATGTTTTTTTTCTCTTTTTTAACGTGTCGCGTGGATATATTTCAAACGATTTATGAGAAAGTACGTTTTCTGAGTCGCCGTCTCGCTTCGCTGGCAGTGTGAACACAGCCTTTAAGCGATAGAACATTATACGTATATCGTATTATTGCTGATCACAGAACGTTCTTAAACGAGAAACAGATAGTTTTCGTTGATCTGCTGACCATACGTGTTTAACATCCTAATTAAGTTGTCACGACTCTGATACAGAAACCACTTGATGTATACACTGATTAATCGAATTCAATCCTCGATTATTCGTATTGGTTCCGTGACGATCGTATTCCCTCTAGCAGATTGACTTTCTCGCGCGTAACATACACATATTTCTACGTATGATGTTTATGGGCAGTTTTAAGATTCTATGGCGAAGTACGAGACGAGAACGACGATGCTGGAAACGTTTAGTTTACGTGTTTTTATCCATACGCGACACGATCAACTATTTTTCTTCTTTGTTCACGTTGAATTATTTTCTCCCTCTCTCTCTCTCTCTCTCTCTGTATGTATGTGTATATATGAGATTTTTCTGTAACAACATTTTCATCTTGAAGAAACAAAATAAAAAATAAACTTCATTCGCTCTTATCACGCATACGCGACAAACGGTTATTCAAGGATTGCGTCGTCTTTCTAATCCGGTATACGTCGATTAAATCTGTTTCGTTAATAAGTTTAAGCTTTACATATAATATATATCTATGTACAACAAGTGTATAGCGTATATATGTGTGTTCTTTACTATATGCATAATACAAGGTTTTCATATCTCGGGGTTTTTAGGGAATTCGGGGAGTGTAAATGCAGTGTAGAGAATAAGTTACATACCCGCGCGGTTTTCTCATAATGCCCATTATTGGCAACAATAGGATAATAATAGATAATATATTAAGACTTCTTGAAGAATTAAAAAAGAAAAAAAGAAGAAAAAAAATAGAACAGTAGAAAAAGAAAAAGATGAAAGAAACATAACGTATCTTTCTCTCTATCTCTCTCTCTCTCTCTTTCTCAAATACTATAGCATTTCTAAAAACTCTAATTAGATCACTCTACAATTCTCTGTAATTTACCTCTTATCATCCTATCTCTCAGCCGCTCTCTCACTCATCCTTACCGTTTTTCAATTACGTACCACGCCTAAAGCTTACCCGATATATATTATCTGTTTAGCGATATCACTTGAATCTGTCATATTAACAACAATGCCCAACTGTATAGAATAAGGCCCTCGTTTACCGCCGCGTATTCGTTTACAGAACCGTTTCTTTCTCGTGATCCGGAATCAAATAATGGATTCGATTTCGCGTTTCCGTTTCGTCAAAGGGGACACGTTAAATCCGTCGTCTCGTTCAACGAGCAAACGCTAGAAAGGAAAACGTTCGATATCGATCGATGCCAGTCGATCGATCGGGAATAGACAAAAAAGGAGGTAAGGTTTGCTCGCGAACGAGACGTCGTCGAACGCGTCCCGATCAACGAGAACATCATTTACATCTGCTCACCATGGCGGTCTTAAAAATTCACACGATCCTACTAAAAGATCCAACTGCCACTTAAAGATTTCGTCTATCTCGAAATACTAATACTAAAGCCCAAAATAATTTGACCACTCTTTCGTTTGTTGCTTATGTTTTCGGCTGGTTCTATCATCATATACGCGTACGATCTTTCATCTTCACCGTGAACGATAATAATAGTAATCGTAGCTCGTATCTGTTGCACGCACGACGATTAATATTCATTTCGTTTCCGATAAATCCCTTATCACTATATTACTATTCATTTATCACTATTATTATTATTATTATTATTATTATTATTATATTATTACTATTATTATATTATTATTAAAGAAATATGAAGTGCTGTTAATCTGACGAGTGTGTTTCGCAACGATGGAGCAGAAGAACGATATATTTCATCCTCTACCCGCAAAGTTGCTTTTTTCGTATTGTAATCCATCCCGTTTATTTATTGTAAAACCCTGCGCGGAATTGTCCACGTATCAAATATATATATATATCTATGTTTATAGATATACGCTTATAGTATTATAGGATCGTGTAGATCGATAATGAAATCGAACCGATCGCTAGTGATTGCCGCGATCGTTGCGTATTGGTTTTCCGTTATGCGTGATAACTGGCTGACATCGGTGTGAATCACCCTGATGATATTTCATAGTTTTCGTCGGTAAATGATGTATTAATGTGCAACGAAGACAGTCGAGCAGCGTCCACTATGAGAATGATATATTCTTGCTGCTGTTTGCAATAGATCGTTCCTCGAGTAATTAGAGTACGGCGGTGCTGGTGCGATGATTTATCATTGTTAGACATCGACGATGGTAAAGCTATTGATGAAAAGTAAAACTGGAAGGATTGAGCTGTGATTCCTGATTTTTCTCCCTTTTTTTTTTTCTTTTTTTTTGAAGATCGACTGAAGATCACAAGACGACATGATCAAATATTCCAGTGAACTTTTTCTTTTCTTTTTTTTAAGAAAATTCCTCTTCGTATTTTTCGAGAGTATATTTTGCGCGAGTGTGTTTTTATTTATTCTTCAAGATTTATGTTCGCATCGAGCGGATATGCTGATACCTTTAACTATGGTAGATCGAACTGTAAGAGAGATGTTCATATAGTCTACCTAGAACGTGTACGGAAAATGGAAGATTCTGCTTTGGTCTTTGGCCACCTCGTCGTGAGATGACGAATTTCGTCTTCTTTTTCGTAGGCATACTTTTTTTTCTTTAGTCTTCATCGAAAGTCTGTTAGCGAATCGCGTAGCTGTTACGCGTTAGACGCGTTTTCCTTTCTACATTCGCTGCTTTTGGGGATTTTTCGCTTTCTATCTAACGCTTGATAGTTTTACGTCCTTCGTCCATTGTCCATCGTTTCTCCTGTGAATTTTTCCGCGAAATTACAAAAGTATGTTTCGTTGTGTGTTAGCAGTCGATTAGAAGGTGATAATTGATCGAGCTTGATAAAAGTTATCAGAGATACATCGACGACACATTGGACGTTCCGTATAAAAAGAATCATTTTTGTTCGTTATTTTTCATTTTATATAATTTACGCACGTTTCTTCTTTTTTTTTTCTTTTTTTTACTTTTTTGTTAATTTCTTCATCGACGGAGATTGATTTGAATCCGAATGCTTGATAAGATCTTTCGAATATTTTTTGTTCGTTTCCTCTATATTCGTGTCCCGCTGGATAATATGGAAAATCCTTAAACTTAAGCGACGAGCTTATCCTTTAAATTTCCTCAAATTCTAACCACGATTTTTTTTTTCTCACGGTAAAATATTCTAGAATACTAACATTTAGATTTAGCGATAAATCGATTTTGTACATTTGTTTGTTGGTATTCCTTACCAGTAGATTAAGTTACTCCTCGCCTCTTAATTCACGCGCATTAATAATTTATAACGTTAAAAATCTTCATTTCTCTTCTTTTTAAGTTATCATTATATTAATAATTTCTATTCAATCTTCATCTTTCATTTCTCTTCATATTTTTTTTTGCCTTTTTTTCTTTTTTAAAGATTTTCATTTTTTGTTACTTTGTTTGATTTGTACATTCTCCCGAGCGTGCGAGCGGGTTTTTGTCTCTCTCTCTCTCTCCCCAAAATCATCTTTTCTTCTTTCCCTTCATGGCGTTCGAAGTGCTGAGGAATCGGCCGAAAAAGTAACTTTCACCTTCTTTTCTGTCAGCTTCCTGAGTTTCTTTACCGCGTTCAGTCTGATCAAATTCTGTTACGATTCTGTTGTTCTCCCGTTGTTTAGTTTGTTCCCGTGTTGAATTTCTCGTTGTTCCTTCTTTTATTTTTTTTTTATTTTTGATAGAGTACAAGAACTATGGAGCGAGCGACGAAGTTCGAAAGGTGTTTTCCGAGCATCTTGTTTTCCTCTGTGCGTGCTTATGGTGTTTCTACATTACTGAGTCTTTAAGTATCTCATTTTCTTATCTTCTTCGTCTTCGTCTCCTACGTTTCTCTTGGAAATTTCGTTTCGAAAGTTTGCGCAACGAAAAAATGAATCAAAGATTGATGAACGAGCGAAAGGTGTAAACATTCACGTGCGGGGCATATTACGAGTTACGAACTTTTTTTTTCCTTTTCGTTTTATTACAAAAAAGAGATATTCCAAAAAGGGGGGGGGGATGGTTTTCGTTGTTGGTTCAGGTATCCTTTTTTTTGTGTGTTTGCTTCCAACAACAACGAAATTCGGTGAAAAGAGCGATTTTATCTCTGTACTCGCGTCGTGCTTCTCTCTGCGTTTTGTACTTCTTCCGTTTTCTACGGTGTTTCCGTGTGCGATTGATCGTTGAAATTTTGATTAGTTTTTTGGCCGAAAAACATCAAAGAAACAATTGACTTCTGATGCATCCGGTGTGCATCGTTTCAGGAGAAAGGAGCATCAGGTGATTCTCGAGGTAGCGTAAATGATCTTCTGGATAGTAAAGTGAATTATTTTTTGTTCGATAAACGAGATATGCATGTTTTATACTCTATTATTATTTCTATGGAACGGTGTCTTCAGTGTGTCCTGTTGAATGTGTGTTTGCATTTTCTTTGAAATATTTTGTTCCTTGGCACTTTCATCGTTTTTCTTTGCTTTCTTTTATTTATTTTTCTTTCTTCCTTTTTTTCTTTTCTTACAAAATGTTATTCACTTTTGTTTCATTAAATATTTACGCTTGATAAATAAGCACGGAAGCGAAGGCCTGGCGGGCGAGGAAGGCTTTCCAGGAAGCGACAACCACGAGAAAAATCGCGTCGCATAAAACTGCGAGCCCGATCGCGTTTGTCGCTCGCCGTCGAAGCGACGTGCCCTCGCCGAACTGACCTGGCGCCACCGTTTTCTCCAAATATATTAAATATATTATACAATTTATCCGACTAAAAAATCTCCTTTATTTTCCCCCCTGACGAGAGCGACAAACGCGCACAGCGCAAAAAGCTGCGCGCCGTTTGCTCTCATTTTTAAATCTTTCATCATCATCCTCTTTCTTTCTCTCTCTCTCTCTCTTTCATTACTCTTCATATTACTTCTTTCTCTCTCACGCGCTTTTTTATTTTTTTTTTCTTCTTTTATTTTAAGTTAATTAATCTCTCACGAAAAACACTTCGCCTCGCTTCTTCTCTTCTCATCCACCTTTCTCTTATATCTCTTATATCTCTATTTAAAAAATGTCCTCGCCTCCTCGCGCCTCGCTTTTTTTTCCTCTTTATTTAATATCGTTAAAATTCATTAAGTTATTAAAAACATCTAACAAAAAAATTGAAAAAGAAAGATTCACTTAGATCTCCCCAACAATGTATCAAAAATAAACTTATTACTCTTAGATTCATTTTCTCTCTTTCGTCTTTTCATTGTTCTCTCCTCGCGTATTTTTCTTTCTAAATTCCGTTCTTCTTCCTTTCTTTTCTGTGTTCGGTCAATTTCACGTTGGAAACGTGAAACTCTTACCGTTTCCATTCCTTTTTTTTTCCCCCTCTGTTCTTGTCTTTCCGGCACTCCTCCTCGAGATGCAGCGAGAAAGAAAAAAAGAAAACGGAACACCGTCGCATCGACGGCTTCCGTTTGTCTCTTTAGTTTCCTCTGCATACCTTCACCGCCGATTTTTCTTTCTTCCGTAACCCACAAAACAGATGAGATGATATTCGTGCGCACACTCCAGCAGCTCTTCTCGTTACACGTTTTTTTTTTTCGCTCTTCATCCCGACAAACAAAAATTCTAACACGCCGTATATATCTCTTCCACCTGGTTCTACTACGCGTTTCCACTCGCAAAACTGGATCATGCTTTCCTATCCGCATTAAAACTCGTGTATTTTTGTACTAAACGCATACCGAATGCCGTAAGGTGAAATATCGACGGGTCGACGACACACTCCTTCCGCGGAACCGAAAACGTTCGTCGTCGACGTCGTCGTTGAAACGCGAACCCCGATATCAGGATTCAACGTATTAGTACTAGAGTTGAGCATCGATGACGTGCCACGATCATTCTGAGCTATTGATTTAACAGTCTAGAATACACCGGAAGTTCTGTGGATATTACTGAGAAGCTTAATTAGATGAATATTTCGAGAGCGTATCTCGTGGCACATGATCGTGCGTCTCGTCAGTCCGTTAATTTTTCATTCTTTTTTTTTTGGTCACATTTATATAGATTTTATCGAACAGAGATTAGTCCGTTCGATCAAGTATGTTTCAACTCCAAGTCCTATACGATTAATCGTGCATATAAACCTTCCACCACTTTTGTCCCAAAGTTTTCCACTTTTCCTCATCTTCACTCTTTTCTTTATAAAAAAAAAAAGAAAACCAAAAATTTCTCTTACGCGATCGATCTTTCCGTTTCGTCTGGAAAACACTTCCCGCCCGTACGTTGCACGTGCGAACCATTCCCCGCACGAATATCAATCACGAATATTCTGTCGAAGATAAACGTATTCTCATGATTACGTTCACCTTTCGTTTCGCCAATGCCAAATGAATATGTTAAATTCGAATTTCATCCAAAAGGAGACATATAAATTTTAGAAATGGCATTCGAAAAACGTCAATGCCCAATTTTCTGAATCGTCTCGATCGAAAGATCGTCAACAGAATTATCGTGATCGATGCGCGCCTTTGGTGCCAGAGTCGTGACATCGCTGCGAGTTTCTACGAACAAGTTCGTAACGCGCTCCAACATTCGCTATCCTAACGTTTCAACACTACATTCTACGATTAAAACAAAGAGGCGGGAGGAAAAAAACAAAATTACAAAATTTACAAAGATCGTCGATAGACGTCGATGATAGGTTTCGTAAAAAAAAAAAAAAAAGGAAGAAAGAAATCGCGTAGAACCGTCGTTCCGAGGAACTCGCTGGCGACTATCACGCTCGCATCACGAGGCGAAGAACGACGAATGCATGGTAAAAGTATATTTACGATGCCTTCGCGTTGAAATTCACTTTTCCCTCCAGCGCTTTACCGTATAATCTCTCTCGCGTTCTTTCCCTCGATAAGCCTAAAATTCTACCTTGTCTGGCGTTTTCTGTTATCTTTTTTTTTTCCTTGCCGTTAATAATATGCCTAATCGGTAATTAATTACTTATCAATTAATAGTATTATTCAACACACGCACACTCACACACTTATTACATCCATGGTAAAGTAAAAATCCCTGAAAAAGTTTTGTGGCTTTTGCATTCTTCTCGTCTCCTCGTTTTACCTCTCTCTCTCTTTCTCTCATTTAAAATTCTCCTCTCCTTTTATCTTCTGCTGTCACCACGTTTTCTTTTCTTTTTTTTTCTCCTTTTGTTGCCCGCGATTTCTCTCGCTTGCATCCCCGTATATGTACCAACGGTCGCTTTTTCATTCTCTCTGGAACATCCTTCTCGTAGCACGAAACAGCGCCCGTTTCCTGTTACATCTCTGCACTCTAAAACGTCTTTTTTAATTTATACTCGATCACTTCCAGCAAAAGTGACTCAACACCATTGATGTTTCTGCCGGTCTCCGTTCATCCTGTTCCTTCCCGACGTTGATAACCACTCGTCGATACCCCGCGGACCGCGTACATAGTATATTGACCGCGTGTCCGTGACCCCTCTCAACTCTTCTTGGCTCTTGCAAGGAACTTGAGGCGAGTAGAGCGTACCACGACATGTGTGTGTCACGCATTTCACTTCACACTAATACGAAAAAACTCATAATCGCTTCTTTGGTATTACACGGCGCGAGAGGGGTGACGGTGGGTGCGGGATGGACGAGGGACGTTTTGGCTGGAAAAACTCTTGCCTTGGTTTTACGTCCACCGCAGAACGTGTCACGTTTCGTTCACCATTTTCAATAATTAAGTCTCGTTAATTAATGTCTCTCTGCGTTGTGATATATAAAAAGAAAAAACTGTACCAAGAGTAGTTTTCTTTTCAGTTATAAAAAAAAAAAAAAGAAACAAAACCGCCTATCTGTAATAGGGTACTTAGTAGAAGTAAATAGTAGTTAATAGCAGTAGTAGTAATAGTAGTAATAGTAGTAGTAATAGTAGTAGTAGTAACATGTATAACCTAATTGTGTAATCGTTACTTAACTTCTCTGTATATTATTATAACTTTAATATTAGGTAGACTTCTTTTTTTTTAGATTAGTTGGTTTTATCCTTTTTCTCATTTCACTTTTCTTTATCATATTAAATCTTTAACCGTAATGAATGAGGTAATAAGGTTGTGTATGCTTATTTGTTTCTTAATCATCGTATCCTATTTCATCGACGAGGTGGTTGCCGTTAACGAGTTCGTTCGAGTGTCACTCGTCGCTTCGACCCAAGAAAAATTCACAAGCGACCCTCGCAACGAAACGACGCACGCAAAGGAGGTGAGAAATCGATCTGTATCGTTCCGAAGAAGAATCGAATTCTAATTGAGAAGAATCGAAAAGATCGGAAACGGTCGAGAATCCTCTTTTGTCTCACCTCGTCTCGCGTGACGCGTTTTCGTTAAATAACGTGCACTTCCATCTAATTTCGCGCGGTACTGCATGCTTATAATCCTTTTTTCTGAAATCACGGGTCGAATCACGATCGATGGTGTTCAATTGACAATGATAAATTTTCAAACGCTCCGCTACAAAAAACTATCTAAAAAAGAAAAAAAACCGCTACATTTTCTAAGTTCTCGAAAATCCATGAAAAATACTTTTAACTACGTACACGAATTAAAAAGAAAAAGAAAGAAAACAAAAGAGAAGAGCAAAACACGCACCATCGACCATACTCCCCTTTTACCATTTTTTCTCTTTTGATTAAACGAAAATAAATCTGAAAAACATTACTATGGACTCCTATTTTACGTTCAATGTTTGCTCGATGGAAAGCTTTCGTGTATATCCTTCGTGCTCTCTACGAAGGATACAATGTTCCGCGAGAAGGAGGTTGCACGTAGCTTCTTAACGAGAGAATGTCAAAGCGACGAGGCCCACCCCGGCGAATAAAACGGATTCTTTGAGGTGTTGGTCGGCGTCGGGTAAATTTCAGTGACGTTACTGATTTTGCGGTTGTTGCTGGCTGGATGGCGAAGAGCTCGATTGTTGAGATGAGTGTTGTTGCGTTGTTGCGCCTCCCTGTTGAGACGTGGTACTTCCGTCTCTTCGGCTACGAGAACCACCTTCTTGGCTGCTACCACGACCAGCGCGAGAACCAGCACCACCTGCTCCAGGTGCACCAGACTGCAGTACCATAGAGCGAATTCTTCTCTGTGCCGACTGAACACAACGAACGATAAAACAATTAAAATTACCATTTGAATGTTGTGACAAACGAATTGTGGAAACAACATAATATTAGCCAAGAAACGTGAAATGGAAGGATATGACGATACCTGTACAGAAAAGAAGGGACCAATTATATGGACGGTGGCCTCTTCGTCGGCGGAAGGAGATGTAGATTGTTGCTCCGATAGCTTTATGACACTTCCAGTAACACGCTGCAACTCTCTAACGTTTTGTCCGCCTTTACCAATGATTCGGCCAACTTGAGCACTTGGTACGAGAATCTCAATTGTCAATCGCACATCCTCTGTACCAGCAACAAAACCTTCTTCGCGCATTTTCTCAAAGATCAAGTACTGTGCCTAGAAACAGAAACAACCAATCTTGTAACGCAGCTATCAATTTATAATAAACATTTTTATACATAAAATAAAATTTTGTCGAAGGTAGTAACGGGACCAATTATGTGCACACAGATAAGTGTGCCATTGGTACGGGTAACCCTTCGTTTTAATCTTCCTGCTCTTTCAAGACGATGCTTTTGAAAAACCGCATCTTCCCAAACTCGAGCAGGCTGTTGAAATAGTTGACATTCGTGCACTAATGATTCGATAAAAACCACCGAGTATTAGTTTGTCCGAGCTTGGAGATTTGAACGCTGGATCTTGCCGTTTGAAAGTCGGCGTTCAACTTACCTGGCCACGAGGTGGTTTAGACTTACAAGTGAATTTACGATTTCACGTTAAATTCGCGCTTGACATTCTATTATATTAAGAATTTTTCTTTTATATAAATTTTCAAATGATCATATCGACACACGTTAAATTTCGTTGGATCACCCCTAATTCAAGAAAGATATATTTAATTTTATAAATGTTCGAGTTCTAAAATCAGTATTTTCAACGTGCTGCCCGCATATCGATAATCAAGCATTTAAACAGCCAATTCTGGTGCATGACGATCATTAAAAAAAACTAGTTAAGCAACGAGGTTTACCTTGATGCATATAAAACTTACCTTCCACTGAGATTCTGGCGATCCAACGATAGTCACTTTCCTTTCAGCTTGCTGATCCGCTGGTTTGTCCTGTTCGATCGGCGCGATCTTAACACTCGCACCGGAAAATCTGATGATGTTCCTGATGTGAGAACCCTTGGTTCCGATAATGGCACCTACGCTGCTGTTAGGAATGTAAAGGAAGGCAGTTTCTTGGGTATCTGTTGCCGGGACACCTTGTTGTGGCGGCAAACTAGCTTGATAGGGATACGGGGCTGGTCCTGATCCGTACAAACCAGGACCACGTGAACTGTATCCCATACCAGCGGTGGACATCATAGCCATTGGGTGCAATCCAGGGAACATCATACTCTGAGGCTGTAATTCAAACGTCAACACGTTTTATCACTTATGATATTTATACAGTTTATTAAAGAGACAGATTGAAGAGAGTGCCATCCAAGGTGAACAACTTTCTATATCTATAACAGGCACGCATTAAAGAAATCGATGATGATAAAATAGACATAACTAGAGTAAAAATTTATATGCAGTTAAAACTATGCAAAATATGTGCAAATCGTGTATTATGCGCGACGGAATGATAAAGAATGTTTAAAATATGTAAAATATGCAGCAATAGCTTTAGGCAGCCTTCAAGAGAAAATGTTATATAAAAATGTATATTTGCATAAGTACCCATAATTTAGATGCGATATATATATATCGCATGATTTCGATATTTTTAAGCAAGTGAAAAGAATTGAGGCTATTCAAAGAACTCTGTGAATCACCATTCGCCGCATGGAGTCAGTTTCAATTTGTAAGTTAATTTATTTTGTACGTAAGACTTACAGCCATCGCCTGCAAATCGTTCTCGTAGCTTTGGCGTAACTTGCTGGAGATCATGGATTCAGCTTTGCTCATGTTCTCGATGGTGCCCTTGACTGTGATGATGCGTTCGAGATTAAAGCTATTGATATCGTTGATGCTGCTCACAGTGATCTTTGTGTCTGTGTCCTGCATGATTCTCTTGATCGTGGTACCCCCTTTTCCGATTATTCGGCCAATCAGGTTGTTGTGTGCGAGGATCTTCAGTGTAATCTCGCTGTTGTTAAGAGAACAATATATTGCATTTACATTAGACATCATATTTGTGTAGAAATAATCAAATATCAACCGAAATTTTTCTATCCTTACCCTTTATTTATACTGTTAGCCTCCTGCTGCATGACCTCCAGGATCTTCTTGCAGGCATTTGTACAATTCTCTGGGTTACCATAGATGGTGATGGCTTTTTCTAAGGAACCAACATTGTCCTTTCGGTGAACATCGACTCGCGCCCGCGTCATTTGAGTGATCTGGCGTATGGTCGATCCCTGACGACCGATTATGGCTCCGACCATGTCCGATTGTACAAGAATACGAAGCGGGAAATCTGTTTGACGTCCGGAACCCGAGACCCCGGAATAAGTAACGCCGCTGCGTTGGCTGCGGCCTCTTCGTCGGCTCTCCACCGTAGACATTTCCACTTTTAGCGGGTTACCCTCGTATTCGTGGCCATTAAACTGGTTCACAGCCCTACAAATGACGAAAATACTCGTCACTTATCGAAGATTCATAGATTTCATTGGAATTTAATTAAAGATCCTCGTCAACCGTTTGCGCTATGGCGAATCTCTAAATGTGAAATTCCAATTTTCTAGGAAATTAGAACTAGTCGAAGATAATTTATGATATTCTATTTCAATATCCGAGCAAGGAGCAGCTAATTCCGACTGCTAAAGAAATTGTAAGGCAAGAGGTTAAAGAACGCATGAACTACTTCCTGCGGAGTAACGTACTGAAAATACATCGTACACTTCACCTCGATGCCGAAAATATTCTTTCAATCTGTGATATTTAGTTCACTTGACGGCTACAATTATCCTCTATGTATCACGAACGGAATAAAAGATTAAAGCAAGACCTCTTTATGAAGTATATTCGACGTTTCCACTGCGAAAGTTATAGTAAATGGATCAAACGAACGATTTATAGCCTATCTTTAGGAAACATTTTTCTTCTTTCTTTCTGTCTTTTTACTTACTGCTGTGCTTGTTCTTGCGTCTCATAGCTAACGAGGACGGTTTGTGTGTTAGGATCGCGCGAGGACAATTTCTCAACGGACTGCACCTGACCGCAATTCGAGAATAATATTTCGATGTCCTCTAATCTGGCGTGAGCTGGGAAATTGCTTACGAGGACCTTAGATCCAGCACCGCTGTAACAAAAAATAGAAATCTCAAATTAGTTATACGTACGGCGTTGACAAGGCTCAAAATGTACGGTAGTCGTTCGTTAATTAAGAACGCCTCGTATTCATACTCCTCACTCTCACGTTTATAGATAATCAATGAATGTATAACCGTGTCACGTTAAGATTTTGAATGTTAGATGACCGCAAAAAGTCAAATACAATTCGATGACACGAAAGTACCGTAAAATGGCAATTTATGCTAAAGTGTTAAGCAATCAATGAAATTAATTAATTCTTTGCGGACAATCGACGAGTATATGTGTCCAAACTTAATTGTCATAGTAATTTATCATTCTCCAGCTATAGTGGAGACAGTAAGAGATTTATAATATTTGCTTTGAAAAATGAAATTATTACTTCTTTTATTTTAAATTAATAACACTCTGTGCCAGCTTAAAACTGCTCCGTCCTGAAAGGGTTAATTGCTCTATCATTCTAAAACAAAGGCGCCGTATTGAAAAATTACCATTTCATTTCCATGTTTTGCAAAAGTATGGAAAAGAATAAACAGCAATTGAAAAAGATAAATAACAATTAACTCGGGCGGAATATTAACGCGAGCTACCATAATGCATCCCAGTCTCGATGATGTTTTCGCTCGAACAACATAAGGAAAGAGATCCCACATGTGCGGATGCCCTTGTTGACATTTTCTCTTTCTTTCTTTCGTTCGTTCAACATCTCACAGTCAAATTTATCCTCTCTGTCGTGGAGGGGACAACTCGACATGAAAGGCATTCGCGGATCAAAAACAAACTCCACCGATCCCTTCTCCATCTAAATACCAAATGTGCCGGCAATCTGCTTCCTTTTTTTTTTCCAAATACAATTTACCGTAAAATCATCGCTTGCCTCTCGTGAAACAGAGACAACAGAATAATTCCACGAGGATCGTGGATATTTTTCAATTGAAACGTGCGACTCCGTTGCGCTGGGTGCAGCGCGAAATCAAACGAACCCACGACCCTGTACGACGCAACATGAATGAAAGCAAATGGCAAGTAAGAAGAGGACGCGGAACCCAAAGAAGAAAAAGGAGGGTGAAGAGCGGCTGAGACTCTCACTTTCGTACGTATCGATTTTTCAGCTCACCGACCCACTCAGCGCCAGGGCTTTCGACTAACCTTGAAGAAAACGTACCCGACCGACCTAGTTTGTGCTCGTCCAATTATTACAGGCGGTTTGAAGACGCGAATAACGAGCCCCCGCGTAGAAATATACAACAATTGATAGCTCTTCAACATCCATACCGTTGAGATTGAACGAGTTAACAAAGCGCGCTCGAACTGATTGCATAAATTAATTTGCAATGCGTGGAACCAAAAAAGGGTAACCTTAATAATAGATATCAACCGTATCGGTTTACGAAGATAATTAATCGTGCAATAATATAATTACATTTATTGTCCACTTATAAGGATTTATTATCATCGTTCTGAGATAAGGTTAATCGCAAACTGCGTTTCTGTCTTCTTACATATCAATTACGAATTGATCTTGCCTTCAGGAATTATCATGCTCCCTATTTTGAAAAATAATATGATAATCGCTTTCTCGAAACGAAGCGCATAGAAGAATTCGGTGTAAAATCTTGCACGACGTATCGTATCACGAGTGTGTAGTTGGAACAAAAGGGGAATACCAGACACGTGACGGAACTAATTTCAACCCCGTCCCGAATAAACCTTAGCCAAACAATTACCATGGAGCAACAACGCGTTCCTGCGGTGGCAGTTTTCTCTATCGAGGCTCCGAGGCTCGTCGAAGCGGACTCTCTTCGACGTGCACGTACTCGACGCCTACAGAGAGGCACACGTTCAACGTAGAAAAGTCGATGTTACGTCTCTGTTCGTACATAGAGAAAGGCTGGTGTGCACGCGTGTATATCGGGTACAGTTTTACGGGGTTCCAGTGAGTATCAGAGGTGGTGTGTAGTAGGGGAAGGGCGAAGGGTGAAATAGAGAGAGAGTAAGATAGATAGAGGAGGCGGAGGAAGGTAAAGGCCTTTGTTTCGTGTGCTTTTGGGGATTTTCGGCGGCACCCAGTGGTGTGAGGTGTATGCAGGAGTGCGCAAGGGAAGGTTGGATATCGCCGGTTTCGTCTGGCTCGCGATCCGTCTCCTCCACCGGCACAAAATCCCCACCCATGCTTACTCTTCGCCAACGAACGAGCTAGCCCACCATCATCCCTCTCAACCCTTTTTGCGCCTCTTTCCCTCGGTACACCCTTCCTGACCACCGGACTGCCCTGTCTCTTCTACACACCCCCGTTCGTCCTGCACACCCGCCGACGCATCACCCTCCTCGGATCTTGCACGCACGTGTAACTCGCGATTTCGTTCGTTCACCTTTAACGAAAGGCGGTATTTTCGTACAACCACGGGACCGAGGGAGAAAGGAAGAGCACAGGAAGAGCCGAACGATAGAGAGAAAGGCTCTTTCCTAAGTCCGCATACCGACAGGGATGGACGCGCGACGACCGCAGACCACGGGTCACCCCCGTGGAAAAGCTTTTGATCTCGCTTAAGACACCTCCTTTTTTTTCGGACTCTCTTTTTCTTCTTCTACCTTGCTTCTTCTTTCGATCTCCTTTTTTTTCTCGTTTAACAAGCCAATGGACTTGGACAACCACTTCTGGAAGTGGATGATCATTGTAGGAGTAGGGTAGCGGGGAAGGGTGGTCGACGAAAAGTTCGAGGGTCGTAATGCGGTGCAGTTAATTGTGAAGGGAATTGGGACTCGTTACGCGTCGCTGCTCGCGTAAAAATGGAACACATTTGCGCGCCGGATAATTAGTGTGGCGCGTGTGCCGATTTTTCTCCTCTTTTCTTTCTTTTTTTTTTTTCGGAGATGCGCCGGGAATTACGGCCGCGTGATCATCCCACGCGAGTTTTATTGCCCCATTACACGGTATTTATGGGTTTTTCTGAATTACGTTTATCGGATGTACTAATGTTTCTCGACTGTCCCAATTCCCAATCATCGATTTATGATAATCAAAAAGCTATAATTCAAAGAGGACGTCTAAAATTACGATACAAAACGAACAAAATAAATGATAATAAATAATAACTCGGGCCGTGAAAATAAATATTTAAAAAACAGAAACGCGAGGTATGGCACTGGTTAGAATGTAGACGGCCCTGGCCGGAGGAGCGTCGACGTCGTTGACTGAGCCGGCGGGGCGCACGGCGCCAAAATCGATTTTGAAAAGGGAAAGTGGCATGTACGTGCCAGCAGCGTGGCTTTACATATATAGTATGCGCACGATTTGCGACAAAAACGTGTAGGAGGTAAAACTGCGGCCACGCCGAATAAAGGTTGCAGCGCCGCGTTGCGTATGCACACAGACAGACGCGTGCAACGCGACACGCGTACACGCACACAGGACGCGGCGAACATTCACGTACACCGCCGCCAGGGTCTGGGTTGATGCCTCTTTTTCCTGGCCACGAGTACCTCTTTCCCATTCATATGTGAGCGTTAGGAGGGAACTTCGTCTCGATTCGGTGTAACGTGTACCTGGTGCACGGGTGCGTGGCACGTGTACCCACCTTCTCTTGCGTGTGCATACCGTGCACGTGTATGGGATATGTTTGCTACTGTGAATGGCGCCACATGATGACGATTTCTCAGAATTTTTCACGGTGCTTAACACAATGATCGTCTGTTTAAAAATAGCCGTATTTAGTAGAAAACTCGATAATATGGATTACGGTGGTCATCGGTGACCAGTACGAAACTGTTGACACGATCTAGATCAATGAGGCATCTTGTGTGTTCTACGTTATCTATCCAATGCAATGATAATGGATCGTGTGTGTCTTGTAGAGGAAGTAACATTATCAGTCAAAAAAGAGATAAGATCGTAAGAAAGGAGAAATAACGTTAGACTGATATTGGTTTATAGTTTATAGACTTTCTTCGTGGGCATTAAAGGTAGTAATTTTTTTTTTATAGCAATTTAATTAAATACAAACGTAATACTACCCTTCTTTGATATCCCTACAATCTGCAATATTGTTGCTTGGTACGAAGTCGAGCATCGATTTCAAGAGACACATGCGAATATGGCACGCAACGAGCGCATTGTACGTCGATAAAAAATTCGTATTCAATCACCGATATCTAAGGAAGTCGTTGCGATAGCGATTTTCAATTGCATTTTTTAATTGCCGCAATTAGTTCAGGGAGCAATGTACTCGAGCGATGTTACAAGTTCTAAGTTCTGTCTATTGTCAATGGATGCGATTCATATTTATGTCTCGATGCATGCAACCAAGTTATATGCAAAGTGAGCGTATATTAAATATTTAAAGCTCGCTCCGTATGAAGAGTTAATAATTAATTGAGGAACAAAAAAAGAACAACAAATTTTTGTTTTGAATAGGAATTTGAACTGGAACCTTTTCGTCTGCAAAACGACTGCTCTATCAATGCAACTATTCAGATAGTAAACAGACTCTTTTTTCCCCTTTTCCAATATTCGAAAATAGCTTTCGTCCATCAGGAAAAATTGAACGATGACGCGAGCATTTCGATAATAGCTATCATCGTCTAGCCGTTTACGTTTATAGGAAAACATTCTACAACAAGAATGTCTGTAAAAAAAAATAAAAACCGATACGCTTCAGCTTGCGGAATAAACAGTGCAGCTGCATTTTTAGGTGGATCGGTACATTTATAAAAATAGACATTCTTGCACCGTTCAACTTTCCTTTATCTCCGATCAAATTCGAGTTATATTCCATTTCAACCGTATGACTCATCTTGTATATTCGTTAAAAAAAAAAAAAAAAATATTGAAATATTTGTCAATAATTCTGTTGCATTTCGTTGCACTCTGTTACGCCATCAAGTACCGTGAGAATGCAACGATTCCTCTGTAACGTTCCAACACAATGAGATATATACCACCGATATCTAAGTCATTGCCATTTTTAACGGTAACTTATATATTTCTGA